GACGCCCTCAACACTCACCTCCTCAGCACCCTCAGCAACCCCTGCCCCATTTCCTTCCCCCCCAATAAATGCCAGCTCTCAGTCAAACCCTCACTGCTCTGGGGGGGCACTCTAAAAGTACAGGAACCCCATGGTCCCTCCCACAGCCCCCACTCAAAGTGGGAGTTGGATTGGGGCAACTGAGACATGATACCCGCTGCTCCCAGTGGCCCCTTCCAGTGCTCACAGTGTCCATCACTGGTCCCCAGTGACATCAGAGTCCCCCCGCAGTGCTCACCAGTTTCCCCAGCGCTCCCAGTGTCCTCCTCAGTGTTCCCAGTGCCCCCCTATTACAGGGTAGACTGGGAGCTTCAGACAAAGTTTATTAGAGAAGATACTTTTGAGTCACAAGGTCCAGAAAGGATCCCGAGCACCCCAAAACCCACAGAGGACCCTTGGCTTTCTAAACTCCTTCTCCAAGGGGAATGTTGTTGTGGTTACACCCAATCCAAGCCCAGCTCCCTCAGCCTCTCCTCACAGGCAAAGTGCTCCAGCCCCTTCACTAAACCTGCTCAAGCTTACAGACATCTTTCTTATGTTGAGGAACCAAAAACAAGGCACGGTAACCTGGAAAATCCATCACCTTGATAGGGGTCACACAGCCCAGAGTGCTCCTGGTCTCCCTTGCTGCCTCCTGCCCAGCTCCCTGCCCACCAGAGTTTTCTTACTGGACTGCTCCCAGCCAGGCAGCTCCCAGCCTGTGCCATGGCCAGGATGAGTCCCTTACAGGGGCAGACACTGGCATTTGTCCTTCTGGGATTTTATGAGGTTCCTACCAACATGTGTTCTTCCCCTCCTTGAAGCCCCTCAGCGAGCAGAGGCCTGAGAGACCTTTCCAGTAAAGACTCAGGCAAAGAAGCCATGGAGTCCCTCAGCACCACATCAGCATCTGCTGGAATTAAATCCCCCTCCCCATTCCGCAGCAACCCTGCATTTCCCTCTTTGATCTTTGGTCTCCAGCAGAGAGATTGAAGCTCTATTTGCTCTTGGCTTTTCTTGCAGCCACCAACTCCAGGTGAGCTTTTTCTTTCCCACAGTCCCACCTGCACAGCCCAGGCCATGCACAGAAATTCCTTGTCTGGACCTGGCCTTGCTGTCACCCCCTGGCAGCAGCTTCATGATCCCTGTTCGTAACCTGTCCTGTGACATCCCAGGCCTGCTTCCATCACATGGCCCCACAACCCCAACTGTGCAGGCCCAGCCCAGGACAGGAGCACTCAGGGTGGAGAATGGACCCTCTGATGGGATGTCCAGGGCAGTCCTTGGGACTTGGTCACCCCAGAGCTTTCCTGTTCAGCGACCTCTCCAAGATCTTGGAGAGGCTCTGTCACAGAGAGTCCTGCTCCAGGATCTACCAGGCTCTGGGCCAGAAGAGAGGCCAGGCAGGACTGGCCATGGCCCTGGCACAGGCCCTGAGCCCAGAAGGAGGATGGAGGGGGGCACAGCAAAACTCACCCATAATCCTGGGCTGAGCAGTCAGTGCCAGAAATGGCTGAGGAGAGAGGCTGGGGGGTAACTAACGTCTTGGATCACCTTCCTGGTCTGTTCATGCCACCAAGGGCACAGATCAGCCTCCTCTCTCTGGAAGTTTCAAATATTTGACACCTTCCACAGGCCCTGGCTCTGCACCACAATCCCCTGGTGTGAGTCCTCCTCCTGCACGGTCACACAGTGTCAGATACACACTGATGATTTTCTCTTCCAGGTCCTTTCCAGCCCAGCTCATCTCCCTTCAAGCTCTTCCACCTCCCCTGAGCTCTTTCCACCACAAAGGGCCTCTCCCTAGCACAACCTACTCAGGTCTGGCCCCACCGCCTTGCCCAGGGCAGGGTGCTTTGGGCAGTGGCACCACATTTCCTGCCCCTTTGAGAGAGCACAGCAGCAGCTGGAGCTCAGAGAGGACTGAATGGGTGAACAAGATTGGCAAAAGGAAAAGGAGGCTTCCTGTGTGCCCTGCTCTCCTCTCCAGAAGATCCTGAGAGCTCTGCAGCCCCTCTCTGCCATCCCATCTTCCCAGGGCAGCACAAAAGCCCTTGTGGTCCTCAAGAACTCTCACTGCTGCACACACCGGGCCCATCCCAAAGCTGGTGCAGTCAGAAAGCTGTTCTCATTTCCCATTCATTCCTGCTTTGCTGAGGATGGATCTCAAAAAAATTGCTGTAGGTTCATTTATTTCGTTTGAATACGAGTCTTCCTATTTACACAAAGTCTCTGGGTCACACGGGATTGGTGGATGCTGAAGAAGGGAAGATTGTGGAGCTGTGTTGGGCCTTGTGAGCCAGTACTTTGGAGGAGTTTGTGGGGGAAGTTGAGAGCTCATGAAAGTGTTGGGTACAATAAAACAATAAAACATAAGAGTTCCTGACACGTCCAGTGCCTTTGTTCAGCCTGATAGGAATTTATAATGAACTTCATGACCCCAAACAGAGGTCCCAGGAGTCCCTCCTCTCCATGCTACACTGTCTCTGTGCTCCCCTCCTCTCTAGGCTGCCAGCAGTCCTGACATTCCCCCCTCTCTGGGGTCCCCCCTCTACAGACCCCACATTTCAGGGTCCCTGGGCTCCCTCCACCTCAGCTGGTGTGGGCCCCAGGGGTTCCCTCTCTCCAGGCTCCCCCCCTCCCCGACATGCCCCCTCTCCGGCCTGTCGGCAGTCCCGAGGGTCCCCTGTGAGACTGAAATGTTAATGATTAATGGCTCAAGTAATCAGCCATTTGCAAAAGCAGTGGGTGCTTTGCTGACGATGTGCACAGTAACAGCCCAGGGACAGAGGGCATGGGCCCCAGAGGGTGCCCACAAAAAATCAACCTTTGTTTAGTGAGAAGCTCAGTTTTGAGCCAGATAAAAGAAGGGAGATGGGATGGTGCTTCTTATCGTGACAATTTCCTCCCTTACACAACTGGGTGGGGACTGCCTCAGCTCTGATATTGGCTGGGGAACTGGGCTCCAAATTTTGGTGGAGCTCCTGAGATTTGGTGGTGGGCTCCTGAGATCACTCTCACCTCCTGAGCCCAGTTCCCAGAATAGTTAATCCAGGGATTGCTCCCACACAAAAGGTGCCAGGACTGCTGAACAGGGAAAGGAGGAAAAGGCAGTTGAAGTCTTATTCCTGTTTTATATCCAAATGCAAAGTGCTGAGCTGTGGAAATTCCAACCCAAAATTGCCCTGGGAGGGGCTGCTGCAGCCACAGGAACCCTAAAATTGAGAAACAAGGCAGTTTCTGATAAACATAACAGGTTTTTTTGGGAGCATGTCTCCTTCCCCACCAGAGCTAGGGAAGCAAGAGGCAAATGGGTGGAACATTCCCATGTCACAGTTGAGCTGGGAATTGCTGACCCAGTCTGGATTTGGGGGAAAAAAAACACTCTAAAGAGATAAATTTTTTCATGGCCAGGCTTTGCGAACGAAGATTTGGGAAGGGCTCTGCCCACATTTGCTGCAAGCGCGCTGGTGGCTAAAATGGCCAATACGAGATAGATAAGAGCGGTTGCAAAAAGCAGAGCAGAAAGTCTCCTTGGGTGGGATCGACAAGACATGATTCTTTCTGCGTTGTCTTTTCTCCTCAAGAGTGATCCTACTGCGTTCTCAAAGGAAGCAGCAGCGTTAGAGATGGGGTGTCTCCAGACCTCCTGATTGGAGGCCAGAGTAGACCACTGATGATGATCAATATGGCCAAGGCTGAGATGATGTTTCAGGGAGTCCTTGTATCTCCTCTTCAGGGCTCCTCTCTTGTGGCAGCCAGTGGCAAGTTCACCACAGAGCACGATCTTAGGGAGGGGGTGGTTGGTCCTTCACCCTGGAGACGTGCCCTGCCCAGCACAGCTGTGTTCTCAGCAACATGACCTCAATACTTGTGACTGTTGCCTGTTCTAGAACAGATGGATTGGTCACATCATCTGACCAGTGGATGTTTAGGATTGTACGGAGGCAGCGTTGATGGAAGCGTTCCAGGAGTCGCAGGTGGTGGCTGTAGATGACCCATGATTCGGACCCATATAAGAGAGTAGACAGCACAATGGCTCTGTAAGCACTGATCTTTGTACTTTTCTTCCGGTGTTTATTTCGCCAAACTCTTATATGGAGTTTTCCAAAAGCTCTCTATGCCTTTGCTAACCTGTTGTCTATCTCTCTGTCAATCTTACCATCTGAGGAGATGAGGCTACCTAGGTAATTAAACTGCTGGACTGATTTGAGATCTGATCGGCCAATGGTGATATGGGGATGATGGAAGACTTCCTGAGGTGCAGGTTGATAGAAGACTTCTGTCTTCTTTAAGCTGACTTCCAGCCCAAAAAGCTCAGCAGCCTCAGTAAAGCAGGATATTAAATGCTGCAGAGCTGCTTCTGTGTGAGTGACGAGGGTGTCGTCATCAGCGTAAAGCAGCTCCCGGACAAGATGGTTTAAGGTCTTGGTGTGGGCCTTCAGTCGCCTTAGGTTGAAAGGGCTTCCATCGGTACAATATCGACTGTAGATCCCATCTTCTTAATCGAGATCTGCCGTGGCCCTTTGGAGCATCCCACACTCAGGGAAGTTATGAGTTATTATATCCATGGACAGTGTCCTGGGCCATGCCACGAACCCCCAATGTCTCCCAGGTCTGCACAGAGTTCCCATGAGGGGCAGGGAAAAGGCTTTTTTCCACCTTCCGAGATTGGCAGGGGAGGATGGGCTTTGATGGGCCATGCAATGAACCCCCAACACCTCGGACAGCCCAGCGCAGAGTTCCTGTGAGGGGTCTGGTAAACTCAGCCCTTCTCTCCTTTCCAGGGCTTGACACCTTCAGCAGCACTGGAGGGGAAGATGGGCCCAGCTGCCCATCAGAGGTATAATGCCAAAGTCCTGCAAAAGCCGGCAAAATCTCCTGGCAATCCCAGAATGCAGAAATCATTGACCGTTTCACTCTCTGACAGTTTCACACAGGAAAAAAGCAGGAAGTTGATCCATCGGGAAGAGCTGCAGGGGGGTCGGGGTGGGTGGGAGCAGTGGGATGAGCTCTGCCAGCAGCTCCTGCCTTTCTGCAGGGAGAGGGAAGGGGTGGATCCAGCTCCAAGACTGTTCAGGCCATGATTCCTGCCGGGATGAGAGCAGGGAAAGGAGTCACCATGTCCCTGTTCCTATCCCAGGGGATGGAGCTGGTTGTGGAGCCCATGGAGAGTAGGAACTGCTCTGGATTCCCTCCTGATCCTGCTCCGTCCATCCCACCCCAATCCCACCACAATCCCACTCCAGAATCCAGCCCTGATCCCAGTCCACAATTCCACCTGATCCCACTCTGGAATCCTGCCCTGAGCTGGAATCCCCTTCCAATCCAGCTCCAGCCATTAGGCCCCGATTCCCCTCTGGAATCCCGGCATCCATCCTGGGATATCTGCACAGAGGATCTTGATCCACACACGCTGCTGGGACTCACTGGTGGGCACGGGATCGTATCCATTCCCCTCCCTCTTCCCTATGGAAAGAAAGCGGGATCAGCACCCGTGGCACAGGATCCCCGTAATGCTGCCGGGCGGATCCGTGCCCCTTCCCGACCCCCATCCCGGGAGTTACCGGATCGGAGCTTCCAGACACCGACTCCCAGGAGGCCGATGATGATGATGATGGCAGCGATGACGGACACAACCACCAACACCGGGCTGGAATTCCAGACGGATTCCGGTTCTGGGAAGGGCAGGAGGGGCAGGAGGGGGAACAGGAGGAGGGTTACCCCCATCCCGCTGTCCCACACTCCCAAATTCCTCCTTCCCAAATGCCCGGTTCCCACATTGCCCGTTCCCAGCCTCACCCCAGGCGAAGATCCCGGGCTCCGGCATTCCGGTGTGCTCCACCCGGCACCGGTACTGCTCCCGCTCCCCCGGCAGCGCCTCGATCCTGGCCCAGCTGTGGAAGGTGCCGTCGCTGTTGGGAACGATCCCACCCCACTCCGTCTCCTGATCCCGCAGTTCATCCCCCTTCAGCCAGTTGATCCCGATCATCCCGGGGTAGAATCCGTACGTGTGGCAGGACAACGTCAGGATCCCGTGTTCCTCTTTCCCGGACACATGGACATCGGGGGGCTCTGGAATGGGATAACAGTGAGATCCATCCATGGAATTCCCATGGGAATGGGATTCGAGTGAGATCCATTCACAGAATTCCCATGTGGATGACTCAGATTCATCCACAGAATTCCCATGGGAGCTCCTGTGTTCCTCAGTTCCATCCTCCCAAATCCCACATTCCCAAATGCCACATTCCCATGGGAATTCTGTCTCCCTCACCTTTGCGCTCCAGCGCCTCCCGCCCATATCCAACATATTTCCTGAGCCATTCTGGACAGATGTTCTTCAGGTAATGTGTCTGTCTCTCTGCCACGATCCCATCGTGTTCCCATTTCCTCTTGGTGATCTGGGCAGCTCCATCGGCCGCCACGAAGCTCCCGGATCCCAGCTCGAAGGAGATGAAATCCTGCCCGTCGTAGCCTTGCCGAAAGGATCCACGGACGCTCCCATCAGACAGGAGGTCACAGCCACAAACTCGCTGCACCGTGTGGAGACCTGGGGGGTGGGATCAGACCCATGGAGACCCTGGAATTGTGTCCCAGCCCCACGGAGCCCTATTCCAGCCCTATGGAGCCCCAGAGTCCGATGGAGACACACAGAGCCTCATCCCAGCCCCTTGGAGCGCCTTGGATCCACATCCCAGCCCCACAGATCCCCTCATTCCCCGGCTCCCCCCACTCACTCCCACTCCAGTTGTACAGGCCCCGCGCTGTCTCCAGGTCGGTGGTAGCAATGAGCTGGTTCCTCTCATTGATCTTGGTCTCTCTATCCCAATATCCTGGCTCAGCTCCGGCCGCCATCCACGGCGTCTGCAGCTCTGTCTGGCCCCGCTCGCTGTCGTAGCGCCCAAAGGGGATCCCGTCCACATATCCCACGGACAGGTATTGAGGGATCCCTGGGCTGGGCTCCGTCACCATCACATCCATGTAACGCAGGGAGTGGAGAACTGGGGGGACACGGAGATTTAGGGGGTCCAGGGGGGTCATGGGAAGGGGGAACTGGGAAAGCTGGGAGAGCCGAGAAGGGGGTTTGGGGATCCCAGGGAAGTTGGTGCAGGGGGTGTCAGTGCTGGGGTAGGGGGTACCAGGGGTCCTACTGCAAAGGATTGAGGGTTCAAGGAGGTCCCAGCATCCGGGAAAAGGGGGATACAGGGATTGGGAGAGGTAGAATGGAGGGAGTCCAGGGGGTCCCTCTGCCCAGGAAAGGGGGCCCAGAGGTCCCCAGGGTTGAGGAATGGGGGGTCACGGGGTGAGATGGCCAGGAATGGGGGTCCAGGGGGTGCCTGGATCAAGGAAAAGGGGGCATCTGGGAGTTGGGAGAGGCGGGATGGCCGAGAAACAGGCTACAGTGAGGGTCTCAGTGCTGGATAAGGGGTTCAGGAGGGTCACAGTGCCCAGGAATGGAGGTTCAGGAGGGTCCCAGGGTCAAGGAAAGGGGGGTGCAGGGGTTGGGAGAGGTGGGATGGGGAGTCTAGGGCATCCCTGTGCCCAGGAAAGGAGGTGCCAGGGGTTGCCAGTGTTGAGGAAAGGGGGCTCTGGGGGCTGGGAAATGCAGGAATGGGGGTCCAGGAGGTCTCAGGGTCAAGGAAAACGAGGGTCTGGGGTCTGGGAGAGGTAGGATGGCCAGGAAAAGGGGTGTAGGGGGGTGTTGGTGCAGGATAAGGGGATTCGGTTGAGTCCTGGAGCCAGGGATGGAGGTTCAGGGGGATCCCTGTGCCCAGGAATGGATGTTCAGTGGGGTTCCAAGTCTCAGGAATGGGGGTTCAAGGCGGTCCCAGTACTAAAGAAATGGGCTCCAGAGGGGTAGCCGCGCCTGGGAATTGAGGTTGAGGGGGATTCCCGTGCCCAGAAATGGGTGTTCAGGGGGGTCCCTGTGCCCGGGAGTGGGTGTTCAGGGGGGTCTCGGTGTCCAGGAATGGAAAATGGGGAGCACCACTGCCGGATAATGAGGTTTAAGGGACACGCACTCAGACACACTCAGAACACACCCAGACACAGACACATTCAGACACGCGCAGACGCACTCAAACAGGCTCAAACATGCTCACACACACTCAGACAAAATAAGACAGGCTCAGATACACTCACACATGCTCAGACACACTCACACATGACTCCAAACACTCAGACACACTCAGACCCCTAAATACATGCTCAGGCACACTCAAATGCACTCACACATGCTCAGACACACCTGCAAACACTGAGAAACAATCAGACCCGTAAATACACGCTCAGGCACACACCCAGACACATTCACACACACGCAGACACGCTCTCACTCACCCAGACACACTCAGACCCACTGGTACACACGCAGACAATCTCAAACACACTCGCAACACTCATAGACACTTGAACACACTGAAACGCACGTGCCCACACTCCGACACACTCACACACCCTCAGACGCACTCTGACACACTGGCACACACTCAGACAAACTCAGAGATGCTCAGATACATGCACACATACTCAGACACACTCAGACAAAAGTGCAAACACTCAGACACACTCAGACACACCTGCAAACACTCAGACACACTCAGACACACTCTCACACACTCAAACACACTAAGACAGCTCAGACACACTCATTCACTCAGACAAACTCTAACACACTAAGATACACTCAGACACACTCATACACACTCAAGAACACTCAGACAAACTCTCACACACTCAAACACACTCTGAAACGCTCAGACACATGAATACATGCTCAGGCACACTTGCACACAAAGAAACACTTGCACACACACAGACACACTCAGACATATTCATACACACTCAGACTCACTGGCACACAGCTAGACAAACTCATACACTCTCACTCGCACTCACACACACTGGCACACTCAGGCACACTCAGACACACCTGCAAACACTCAGACACACAGACACGCTCACACGCACTCACACACACTCAGACACACTCAGACACACCCAGATACACTCAGACACACTTGGACCCACTCAGACACACTTAGGCGCACTAGCACACACCAGACACATTTGTTCACACTCAGATACGCTCAGACACACTCAGACATACTCGCACACAGCCAGACAAACTTAAACACACTCAGGCACACTAAGGCACACTCCCACACACCCAGATACACTCAGACACACTCTCACACACTCAGACACATCTAGGTACTCTCAGACACACCCGCACACACTCGCACACACTCACACTCAGACACACTTGAACACACTCCGACACACTCACACACTAAGGCACACTCTCCCACACTCAGACGCACTAAGACACACTCAGACACACTCCTACACACTCAAGCACACTCAGACGCACCTGCACACACTCAAACACACTGAGACACCCCTGGAAACACTCAGACACACTCAGACACATAAATACATGCTCAGACAAACTCAGGCCTACTCAGAAAAACTTGCGCACACACAGACACATTCTCAAACAGACAGACTCTCACACACTCGCACACACCCAGACAACTAAATACATACTCAGACACACTGAGGCACGCTCAGACACACTCAGGCACACTCAGACACACTCGTGCACACCCAAACACACCCAGACACACTCGCACACACTCACACACAAACACACTCAGGCACATCGAGACACACAGACACACTCCGACACACTCACACACAATCAGACACACTTGAACACACTCAGACACACTTTGGCACACTCGCACACACTCTGACACACTCACACTCAGGCACACTTGAACACACTCCGACACAGACACTCACACTCTAAGGCACACTCTCACACACTCAGACGCATTAAGATGCACTAAGACACACTCACACACACTCACACACACTCGCACACAATCAGACACACTTGAATCCACTCAGACACACTTAGGTACACTAGCACACACCAGACACATTCGCTCACATTCAGATACGCTCAGACACACTCAAACACACTCACACACTGCCAGACACACTTATACACACTCAGACACACCCAGGCACACTCCCACACACCCAGATACACTCAGACACACCCAGATACACTCAGACACACTCACACTCAGACACACTTGAACACACTCCGACACACTCAGACACTCTCACACACTAAGGCACACTCTCACACACTCAGACGCACTAAGACACATTCAGACACACTCTCACACACTCAAGCACACTCAGACACATATATACCTGCCCAGAAAAACTCAGGCCTACTGAGAAAATCTTGCGCACACTCAGACACATTCTCACGCGCTCAGACACCCTCTAACACACAAGCACACACTCAGACACATAAATACATGCTCAGACACACTGAGGCACACTCAGACACATTCGTGCACACACAGACACACACAGACACACTCCCACACACTCCCACACACTCTGACACACTCACGCTCAGACACACTTGAACACACTCCAACACACTCACACTCTAAGGTGCACTCTCAAACACTCAGACGCACTCGCACACACCCAGATACACTCAGACACACTCTCACACACTCAGACACATCTAGGCACACTCAGACACATCTGCACACACTCGCACACACTCACACTCAGACACACTTGAACACACTCCGACAGAGACACTCTCACACACTCAGACGCACTAAGACACACTCAGACACACAAATACATGCAGAGACAAACTCAGGCCTACTCAGACAAACTCGCGCGCACACAGACATATTCTCACACACTCAGACACACACCCACACACTCAAGCACATTCAGATGCACCTGTACACACAAACACAATGAGGCACACCTGGAAACACTCAGACACAGACACATAAATACATACTCAGACACACTCAGGTCTACTCAGACAAACTTGCGCACACACAGACACATTCTCAAACAGACAGACTCTCACGCACTCGCACACACTCAGACACCAAAATACATACTCAGACACACTGAGGCACACTCAGACACACTCGTGCACACCCAGACACACCCAGACACACCTGCACACACTCAAACACACTGAGACAGAGCTGGAAACACTCAGACACACTCAGACACATAAATACATGCTCAGACAAACTCGGACCTACTCAGACAATCCTGTGCACACACAGACACATTCTAACACACTAACACACTCAAACACACACGCACACACTCAGACACCTAAATACATACTCAGACACACTCAGGCACACTCAGACACATTCGTGCACACCCGGACACACTCAGACACACTCACAGACCCTCAGACACACTCAGACACACATCAACACACTATGACACACCCAGACACACAATGACACATACGAACAAACCCAGACATTCTTACAGGCAGACACACCCACAAACACGCACACCTCCTCTCGCACATTATCTGACAGCCTTGCTAATACCAGACACACTCATACACAGTAAAACAGGCAGAAATGATAAAATACAAAGAAAAACATAGAAAACTCGGAAGAACTCGATAATTTAAACACACCGAAATACAGTCGCACCCATTCACACAAAATCAGACAGGCTCAGGAACACTCGACCACACTCACAGATGCTCAGACACACACTCACATATTTGGCTGAAATTACGCACCCTTACGTACATTGTCTACAACTCAGACACATTCGCACATATTACAACAAACACGAAGACCTTCGCACGAAATCACCAACACTCGAACACAGGCACAATCAGAAAAACGCGCACACACTAAATAGGTCTCGGAGTGTTTCCCAATTTGTCTGTTTTTTTCCTGAGGTTGTTCGAACTTCTACGGGAGAATGTATTTCCGATTTTTTTATAGGAGACGTGTGAGACAGCGCGTATGCGAGTGTCTCTATTGTGTGTGAAAAGGAGAATTAGTATCTGCTACTATGTCTCTACTCAGGAGTTTAAGACGGTGTGAGAACGTGTATCTTCGTCTGACTAATTGTGAGCCTCTCCGAGTCTT